ACTCCCGGTACGGAAGGTTTTTTGCTTAAATGTTGCATTATAGCGTTTCAATCTGAGTTGTCCCTATTTAATGAACTACTCACGTGATGACATGTCTGTTTTAACTCTTCCACGCCACTGCTCATGTGTGGAAGTTTACATGTGTTCAAGCTTGCGCTGGTGATAAACAGTTCGTAGTTTGGTGCTTGCCTCTCTCTTTCTGCTCCATCTGTCATGTTTTGATAGCTTTGAGCCAGTTAAAACATTTTCGGCAAACTGAAGCACCAGTTCGCCTAAAAACAAGTTATTCGAGTGCGCAGATCGTTTTTCGTTGACACTACAACGCATTGTTGTTTCTTGTGCTCCCCCCCCCCCCTTTTTTTTTTGTTTTTGCTGTGGTAGGATGCTTCACTAAATTGATCGGGAGTAATCTGTGTATGCCTCTGCAAAACTTTCCTATTCAGTACGACCCATTAAAAATAAATAACTAAATGTGTAAATGAATAAACGAAGGAAATGTAATGTACAACCCTCATGCAGGAAACCTCTCTTTCTTCGAACACTCACGTACCAATTTGCAGCATTGGGCTCTATAAGCGAGATACACGATGACGGGGAGACTCGAAACATCGAGCCTAGAACAAAACGCGCACAAGGTGCCGTCCCCACCCACCATCGTGCAGTGTGCGCTCGCACCTTGGGAGAGAGGAAAGTATGCACAGCCACCACTACACGCAACCGACAAGAGGGACCACCCGCTGAGCGCGGCTACAGCGGTGCGGCATAAAGCGCGCGTGCGGCCAACGCGCGGAGACACATGTCACGAGGCCGGCGATGCGTGTGCGGCCTCAGAACACCGATAGCCGCCGCTTTTGGCACTGTCCCGACGCTGCTAACCCTCTACTACGCACCGGCTGACGCACGATTGGAAAAAGAAAACATGAGGATGTGATTTAAGCGAATCGCTCACCGCAGAACAAGCATGCACGGGCAATATCTCCACGTAACACAGTGGCATACGCATCGTACAACGCGATAGAATGCGTGCGCCCTTGGATGCTGTGTTGTTCGCTTTACGTTTTTTCTCTTGGCTATTTTAAGCTCCCTCTGGCGTGCGGAAAAAGTTGTGGGCCGTATTATGCGTTGCATATTCAGAGGACAAAAATGACCAGGATATTCGTTTTGTGAAGATGCTTTTTAGTATAAGAACGCATGCAGTATCCAGTTACGCGTTGGATTCTGTAGCAGTTTTAGATGCCTAGACAATTATCTGTTAAATAGGAAGCATTAGCTTTGGAATTTCGCATCGCACTTATGCTCTTCACCATTAATCCATCCGAACGCGATCTCCCAAGCAAGCATACTCTTTGAAGGCAAGGTGGTATCAAACTTCTGGTTTAAGCATTCTTTGTTGTAAATGTTTTTTACTGCTGCAAGATAAACGCTACGATAGTCGTGAGTCATCCCTAATTATTTTTCTATCCACCTATTTATCGAAGGACTCTCGCTTTTTGTTTCCGGGCATTGAGTGGGACAGTAACATCACTGTGTAGAAAGCTTGAGTGCATGGGCCCAAAAAGCTGTGATGCTCGCAGTACTGCATCGTCTGCTCTCGCACAGTCAAACATCGCAACCGTCGGGATGCCTCAAAAGCCGTCGGGATGCCTTCAATACTCGCTAAAGTTATATAATAGACAGTATGACATACGGAATTCCGGCGTGCGCAGAGATTCTTGCTGTCTACTGGATTACCGGATGATCGCACAGATATCTTGTGACGCTTCGTTGAACTACAATTGGAGGTGCGTTTCTAGTGATTTTTTTCGATGAGTTGAAAAAAAAGTCTTCAAAAAGGCAACGCAATCGGAACTATGCCAATGCTTTGAACTTACAGCCATATAAAGGTGGAATATATTAATTTTTGCAACAATACTTCTGTGCTTAACTGGTTGATCTTAACGCCGCCAGGTAGCTCCACTTACATGGTCTCAGGTTTCCGGCTAAGGCAACCTAGTATAATAAAGAAAAAAAAGTCTGAAAACAAACATAAATACTCTAAGGTCTTATTCGTAGGTGCTCGTGACGATGCAAAACACTTTGCGAAATACTAGCCAGCTTGTCTACTTCGGCAACAAGGTTTAAAGGTGATGCACTCTCGGCTTCTATGTGCAGCGAATTCGCTTGCTGGTCATTGCAAGTTACTACAATATTGTATGACGTCACTAAACCTTTCGATACATTTCTGACACAGCAAGGTCAGTGTTGGTCGTGCTAGCAATGAGTCTCGATTCGGAGAATAAGAATTTAAGCCCACTTTAGAAGCAAACTAAAATATATTCTAAACGTTTGCTGAATCCAATACTTCGCCTTGAGGGCATTTGCATACAAAGTTATTAGCAAGCGTTTATAGTCTCGATATTTGGTGGCACCAACCCTTTTAAGACCAGCTGTCTGGTCAGGCATCGCTTGTACCTATTCTCCGGGTGGTTACCCGGCAGTGGTAAACCATATTCCTGATTTTGTTGATAGCTGACTTGCACGCAATGTGTGGCCAACAGCCGTACTTGTTAGCTACAGCAATGAAACGTAGTTTCCCGCCAAACCAGAAACAGAGCTCACGAACTCAAATTTGTACTATATTGGAATGCACTCTGCGGTAGGGGCGGCACAACTGCTTGCGGCTGTTGGGTTTGTCGTGAGATAATCGAGGACTTAGCTTTGATACGTTTATCCCGGATATAGCTTTCAACGCATGCCACTTTTCTACAGGCTGCTTTGTTTTTTGTTGTTTTTTGGGGGGAGGGGGGGGGGGCCTATAGTTTTTTTGGTCACAGCAGTCACTGAATTTTTGCCGCACTTTCATCGCAAAAATTTGCTGTGGAGGGCACATATCTTCCGCCTCTCACGGCCTCGATACACAAAAGAAGATCGAGAACGTGGGTTTCAAGACTAACTTCCTTAGCGAATTTTATGAGAAATATTTGGCCATGTTAGCCGCTCGCCTTCTTTGTGAAATAACATCGGAAAGAAAAAAAAACAGGTAAATAAGAGGACTTCAACATTGTACTCCTAGCACGAACACCCCAGTGGCACTGTAATATTTGCGTTCTACGTATTCGTGTTTTTACATTCAACGGACGCTTGTGTGTCTCCAAAGCCAAGCAACTCTTTCAATCGACCGCAGCGTCCGGCGCATCCTACAGCACATGTTTACACAGTGAAGCTTCTCGTAATGGATACGTGTACGCTTAATTTCGATATGTAGACACACGGCACATATAAACTGCTGAAAGGCAAGCTTACTTTGTTCCACAGTTTTTCGCGTAGGAGTTCGTTATTCACACACCTTATACACTTACTGTTATTCTACCTGAAAAGAAAACCGGTAAGCAGCCATATATTTTGTGAGTCTTCCGAAATGCAAAAGGCATAAAAACGAGCACTTTAGCAAAAAATTTTTTAAGCCTTAGTGAAGCCACTTTCATCAAATGTTACCTGTACTGGGCCAACATAGCTGTTTAGCGATGCGCGTTGAACAACCGAGAGGACCTCACCTTCCGCCGTTGCATTACTTGCTAGTATCATGCACGCAGAAAAACAGTCTCTGCATTACTTCTAACGAACCTATTTTACGCCGATCGCGTGCCGGCAAAGCCCCTCAGAGCCCAGCCTTCATTCAATCTCTGAGGTGAGGGCACGCAAGGGGTGCTCTAAACATTTCTTCTTAAGGGGACTCTTAGCTGGTATATAAACAACTGTAAAGCTAATAATATTGATAATAATAATAATAATAATAATAATAATAATAATAATAATAATAATAATAATAATAATAATAATACCTGAGGCCTTACAGCCCGAAGTCACGATGTGGTTATTAGGAACGCTGCCGTAGATGACTCCGGACTTTTTTACCAGCTGATGTTTGTTAACACGCATTGACTTCGCAGAGTATAGAGGCCTATACCATTTTGCCTCCGTTGAAATGGGACCGCCCCGGCCGAGATTGATCCCAAAACATTCGGATTAGCAGCCCAGCACCCTATCCATTGATCCACCAAGGTGGACACAACTGCAAAATTAAAACTAGGCTTCACGTTTTCATTCACCGATAATGCAGAGCCCCGAAAAGTGAATAGAACCTAAGGTCAGACTGAAAATTTGGCTCGCGGTATCCGATTTAAAAAGATTGCACCTGAACTTGCGTAACAACTTCGAATTAAAGCAGCAAGAAACAGAGCTTTATACTACAAATAGGAATGTTATTATTGTCGGACTCCGCAGGCGAGCGCCCGATCCCACTGTTTACCCGTATAGTCTCGCCGCACAGTATGAGCGGCCCACTAAGGTGCACAATACGCCCCATAACGCCACCCGTGGATGCACTTTGTTATATGTCACCCTCCCGCCATGCAAAGGTCATGATCAATTTGGAGAGCCCAAAGATTTCAGGGATTGGCGTCTTCGGTACCGAATCTCGGCTGCGTATCAAGGAGCCCCTGTCTCGGAAGCAGCTAAAGTGTCTTGACACGCGTGGCACGATAACGACGCGTGCCAGTATCATGTTGCGAGTATTGCTTGAGCTAGCCGACACGCTGACGTGTGTGGGAACTGCTCAGCGTGACGGCTGGGATACGCACGGCGTCCGAGCTGTGGTGGCGGGACATCGCTGTCCCACGCCTTCGCGCAGTGCTATGGTGGAGCGCGGCCAGATTTGAACTGCAGACGACGATGTCCGGCACCCGCGTGGTCGAACACCACTAATTTCTTCGAGCTGCTCCACACAATACGTTGATTGGGCAGACACCTTAACTTGCAAGTATCTCATGAACCACCAGAGCACTGGAGTTCCTTCTGGCCGGACAGACGGCGCGTGGAATCCAAAAACTGCCTCGTAAAGGAGGCGCGACCGAGACCGAAGGGGTCACGAAGGGCCGCACGCTGGCAGAACGCTCGCTGACGCTGCCGCGATTCGGACGGCACAGCACGCAACAACACTCGCCGGCCTCACGCGCACATACGAGAAACTCTCGGCGGACGGCCGCCGCGGTGGTGCTGGCCCCCCGCGGCGGCAGCGTCCTGGCCGCCGACGCGGCATCGTTGGCGGCGGCGTACTCGTTGGTCCAGCGAAGAAGAGTCGAAGCGCCGCGGGGGATCGTCGGCCCAAACGTCGCGTGCGTGTCAAACGTGTCAAGTCCGGACGCGCCTCTCAAACTGCCCTGGGTGGGCCCGCCGCAGTGACATCTCGAGAACGGCGTCACCCGCTTTGCGACTCGGCGAGCGCACGGTGCCTCCGACGCTGCACGGCGGCACGATTGTCCGCGAGCGAACTGCAAGAAAAAAATAACACCGTGCAGGGACGGGAATCGCGATGTTGTCACGCCACAGCACCTGCTTGTACCACCCCGGTTCTACAGGCAAGGGACCACCGCACCGCATTTGCGTATGGCCAGACACGCCAGAGGTGGCGGCGAACAAAGTGCGGCAAACTGCGCGGTCCTGTATGGCAGTCGACGAGTCAGGCAGCCGCTCGTCGCTGTCGTCCACGTGCCACCTGGACATCGCTATTCGCATTTTTCGCTGCTAGTCAGCCATACAGGTTTCTACCTGATATATATTAATATTTGAATGCCCAAGTTTCCGCATTTGTAGATGGGTAATTCTGAATGTAGTAATTTCTAAAGCTCAGCTCATTTAGGCGAACGGTGGGTAATGGAGTCCATAGTATTTAAAACATATATAAAACGCATTATGTAGGGCGTCGTTAAAGTGAACTCCATGCAGTGCTGTTTTACAAATCATGGTTGCGGCAGGAAATTCCTGATAGGTGTCAGCAAAGACAGTTTAAGCGATCGCTTAGAGGTGCTTTCGGAGGACGACGGGTTTGTGTGAACACCTCTGACTTGCGGTGCAGTTCAACACGCTGCAGTTCATTCACTGCCTCCCCTTCTGGTTAGTCCCTAGAGGTGCAAGGACAGGATCAGGCTTTATGCGCAAATCAGCGCGACACATACTGAGCCTAATCCACTCATGTGAGCTTTGAGTGTTTGCGAACGAGATGTGCTTTCTGTCTATGTCAATGCCGGTTCTAATTACTGAAGACGAAAAATTCTCATTCACTCCAGTCGTCAGCGTAAGCAGACGCTTATTGTTGATTCTTTGTTGATTGTTGATGGCAGGCTTGTGAGTGCACCTATGTTGGCACCCACTGCCATTTCGCTGAACATCTCGGAGTAACCTTAACAAGTTAATGTGAGGTGACACGCCTAGATTCATCACTGCGAGAGGCATAGTTGGCAGTACCCTTCTCGAAGGCGCAAAAGCGTTTCGCTTCCTACTGGCGTCTCTACCACTAGCCCAACGCACTCATGACTGTGTCGCACACAGCCGCTTCGAAGCGCCAACCCTTTTCGATAGCGGCACCATCACTATTATAATAAAGCTCCTGAACTTTCGTAAAGTAGCGCAAAGCTTTAAAGAGAAGCCGCCTAGCCAAAGGTTCTTTCTTTTTTCATCCTCTGCCAGCAATTTTGAAGCTGACACCGTACTACTGTAGGCCGACTGGCATTAAAGTGGGACCACGTGCAGCGTTCGTTAGTTCACAATACCATGGCCATTAAATTAGAATGTGCTTTTTGATACAGCGGTCGCAACATCGCTATCTGTATTTCAGATGTGTCCACACACTCTTGATGAGCTCATGTGTTGATGTATACGTGGTTAGAGTGTACTAGAACAGGTAACTTCTCGTCAAAAGCTTCGAAGGGTAAAGCTCCAACAGGGTCAAGCTGCTTGTGGCGCTGCGATTGGTATATAGTCTGCAATGTGTCGTGGTTTAAACGCTGCGTGTGACTCCACCAGAGAGTTGCAATCGTCGAATGCCCGCTTTTTAAAAGCCGTGGTTCCAATCGCAGTTGTAGATAGTAGGCTTTTATAGACTTAATGTGAGTCTCCAACTGCGATGAAACAGAAATTCACGAAACAGAAAAACATTCCAAGGGTACTGCACCATTTACTGATGAATGCCAGTGAAACGTCACACGAGAGCTGAGTATCGTTCAGTCGTAGCGCACTGGAGTGGTTCTAGGTTTTAATACATGGAGCCCTACGGGGAGCTTTTTTTCTAGAGTCAGTACATTAACTCTGTGGTGTTCGAGGGCAGTGATTTACTGAGCACGCGTGCACACTGCGCGCATGCACCGCGGCTCGACTCGGCCTAATAGCAACCGCGGCAGCAGCGCTGCTTCTCACCATGCTATATTTTTTACGTTCTAAGCTACGTAGAATGGAGAGCAGCTAGATCATAATATTGAATAAGTTCGAGGACTGTCAAGTATGACAGCATCAAACTACGCGACTGCCTACAGCAGAGGGATTGACTCGATATTCTATATTCCAGCTTCAAGGCTCTTCTGCTAGGCTGCGTGACATAACTGTTATTGTCACATTTAAGCAAGATTTAAAAATATAAATCTTAGTCACAACGTGAAAAGAATGCTGGAGTATGTCACTGCATTTTGTGGTCTTTGCATTTTTAAGACGATATAATCACACATTTTGGCCTGTTGTCGGTCCCTTTTAACAACGACTCATTGCAGATTGCCGATTGCAGAGACCCTCTTTGGGCTTCATTTCCGCACACTGGTGCAGTGGCCATTACGAGCACTCCGTGATTATAGTACACTTGAACGCACTGAACGAAAAAGGGTCATTGATCGAGAGATCGGTTCTTTGTGTTAGACGAAATATAATCAGACTGACAGATAATGAGCGCAGCTTTGTCGGGTAGTTTCATGGGGACATTGACGCAATTGTGCTGCATGGACATTCTGTAGCCAAATACATTTTTAGTAAACAGACGCGGAATCGCTGTTCATTTCCATAGGCTGAACCCTGGGATGCACAGATTTAGGAAAGGCCAAATCCTCTGCGCGATATCATCCAGCACTAATGTAACATTATGAAGAAACACACCAAATCGGAAGGGAGAACTTGGAACCGAGATCAACGACGAGGGTGTAAGAGTTGAATCTCTCATACCCTAGCTATATGTGAAGGTATAATCGATTAGCTGCGCACTGTAACATCATCATCATCATCATCATGATCATCATCATGATCATCATTATTATTATCATCATCAGCCTGACTACGTCCACTGCAGGACAAAGGTCTCTCCCATGTTCCGCCAGTCAACTCGGTGCTGTGCTTGCTGCTGCCAATTTATACCCGCAAACTGTCTCCCGCTAACCCGCTTGCCTACTCTAGGAATCCAGTTAGTTACCCTTAATGACCAGCGGTTATCCTGTCTACGCGCTACAAGCCCGGCCCATGTCCATTTCCTGTTCTTGATTTCAGCTCTGATATCCTTAACCCCGGTTTGTTCCCTAATCCACTCAGCTCTCTTCTTGTCTCTTAAGGTTACACCTACCATTTTGCTTTACATTGCTCGCTGTGTCGTCCTCAATTTAAGCTGAACTCTCTTTATAAGTCTCCAGGCTTCTGCTCCATAGCTAAGTACCGGCAAGAGGCAGTTGTTATATACCTTCCTCTTGAGGGATAGGGGCAATCTACCTGTCATGATTTGAGAGTGCTTGCCAAATGTCCTCCACCCCATATTTAATTTTTTAGAAACTTCAATCTCGTGGTTCGGCTCCTCGCTTATTACCTGCCCTAAGTAGACGTAGTCTTTTACAACTTCAAGTGCACTATTACCTATCTCGAAGCGCTGCTCTCTTTCGAGGTTGTTGTACATTACTTTCGTATCCTGTAGATTATTTTTAAGACCCACCTTTCTGCTCTCCTAGTCTAACTCCGTAATCATGAGTTGCAATTCGTCCTCTGAGTTACCCAGCAATGCAATGTCATTGGCGAAGCGCAGGTTACTAAGGTACTCTCCATTAACTCTTATGCCTGTTTCAATTATAGTCCTCTGAAAACCTCCTGTAAGCACGCGGTAAATAGCATTGGGGAGATTGTATCCCCCTGCTATACACCTTTCTTGATTCGTATTCTGTTGCTTTCTTTATGAAATTGTACGTATCTCGCATTACATGGAGCACGTCGTCACTTCTCTTGCAAAGCCGCAGCCACGTCTGAGTACAGCGCTCGATCAGCCGGTTTTTGCTCTGCGGGCCGAAACCTGGAGGTATACTTTCGGGCTCTGAAGTGGTGTATCATGAGTATATATACACAGCCTAGTTGTGAGGCTGACCACATCAGAGCCTCATACTGCCCCAAGGTTTCACCCCGCAGAGCAAGAACCAGCTGTTCACGTGATCTACACAAATGTGGCCACGACTGTACGTTGCAGCAAAGCTTCTGCGCGAACTATATTTTTTTTTTCAACAATGCATCGTCAAGACAGTAAGTTGGGCCACTCGCCCAAAGTTCTTTATGATGAAACAGTGCGTTACGGAACGAAACACGAGCGAGTGCCTGCAGGACTTGCGCATGGTGAAGTTTTATGCACTTAACTTTATGCGTGCCGACTGGCTATGATTCGTGGCTCCACCAGCTGTCCGACGCAGTAGTGGAGGGCTCCGGAAACTTCGACAACCCGGTGTTCTGTAACGCGCACCTATACGTATATGTACACGGACCTCAAACATTTTCTTTCCCGTCAAAAATGCGACCGCCGTGGCCGGGATTTGATCCCATGAACTGCGGGTCACCAGTCCAGCACCAATAACTTCAGGCAAGGCTTAAAAAGAACGTGAAATTTTTGCTGACGTAAGTGTCTTTTTTATGTAATTACTGAAAGTGCGAAGCGCTTCCTCGTTAGTTTGCAGCGAAAGCAATAATTACCGTCGCCATCATTTCGTCCTATATTCTTAAAAATGAGATCGTCATCAGGATTTCATTTGATTTATTTCTCTATTCAGTCCCCCTTCCAGCCACATGACCTGTGGCTCTAACACTACCAGCACGCAGGCTACAACATTTTATTTCAAGCTGACCTTTCAGCTCTTACAAAAATCACTCCCTCTCGTTGTGTTAGTCTCGGTGTTGAAATTTTAGGGTAACTGTATATATATATATATATATATATATATATATATATATATATATATATATATATATATATATATATATATATATATATATATATATATATATATATATATATATATATGTGTATATATATATATATGTGCGTGTGTGTGTGTGTGTGTGTGTGTATTTATATATATATTCGCTGCACTAGCTTTATATCGAGTGATTTATTTTCGCTCGGTGACGAGCAGCCCGTTTCGAGCTAGGAACGCGCAATCGAAAGCGTCGCCAGAATGCTGCCAGTGCACGGTGTCATACTCTGCCAAGCTGAGCACCACCTCTCCACGGCAACCACTATGCGCGTGGATGGACCGCCTGTCTCGGCTGCCCCGACACTTCTCGGTGGTCAAGACGGCGGCCAATCGTTCCTGTCTGTCGGCACGTAGCCGGTTGGCGTCGCACCGCGCATGGGCAACTCATCGGCGCGTCGTTTGCCAGGCGGGCTTCGATGCGTGACGCAGAGGCGCTGGTATACACTCTGGTCAGCATAGATGGCGCGCCAGTGC